GATACAAACAGCTAACTTGCTCAGTGGCTAACCAAAAGATCAGCAGTTTGCATCCATGCTAGGGGCACCTCCAAAGGCTAGCCTGACAATCTACTTCTGAAAAATTAGCCAATGAAAACGCAATAAAGCATAGTTCTAGTTTGACACACATGTGGTTGCCATGAGTTGGTGTTGACTCAACAGCAACTGGCTAGTTTATAAACGGTCTTTTGTCTAATTTATATTACCTACCCACTACCCATGAGTCGATTCCGACTCCAGGCAACCCTATAGCCAGTTTCCAAGGCTGTAAATCTTCAAAGGAGGAGATTACTCATTTTTCTCTCACTAAACCAATGGTGGAGTCAAGCCAACTGAAACACATTTTTATCAAGCTGTATCATGCTATGGACTACTCCATTAAAGCTTTTAGTTGAGCTGCAAACTCAAAGGCCAATGTACTCGCCAGCATCTCCTTGGGAGAAAAATAGGCAAACTCTATCCAGGCTATTTATAGCCTCACAAACCCAGTGGAGGTTAGTTATGAGTTCTGACTCGACAGCAAGGAGTCTGAGTTGCTTCCAGGGGTTTTTTGGTTTTTGTTTGTTGTGTGTTTCACATTGAGGCCACTTCTGGTGGCAAGGTAAGGGAACCATAGTGGTTTAGTCCCCAAGGAGTTGCACACTCCTAACCCAAAGGTGGCTCCTCCCTAGTAGCTAGGTCCACCAATTGCTCCTCAGGAGAAAACTGCTCCATCATCTTTGCATCCCCTGTGATTTACAGCCTCAGAAAGCCTGCTGGAGTAGGCGTTAAGTCGGTTCCACATGAGAGTGGTGGCACAGTAGTTAAAGGGCTTGGCTGCTAACCAAGCGGTCAGTAGTTCAAGCCCATTACCGTTCTGGAACAAGCTGAGACAGTCTGTATGGATCATAGCCTTGGAAGCTCTGTGGGGCAGTTCTACTCCATCCTATAAGGGCCATTAAGAGTGGAAACTGACTCCCTGGCAATGGAGGGTTTTTTGCTTTCATCTTATAATTTGTTCCAGTATTTCCTACTAATTTCAAATCTCCTCAGTGCAAAGAAAATGTGTAATGCCAGAGCAAAATTATAATTTAAAGTCATCCTCTTTCCTACAAATGTGCATTTTTTGACTCATTAGCAGTGGCTAGATAATGTGATATTAAATAGCCAGTGGAGCATAATCTATCTGACTCTATGGTATAAATATGCATGTATTCATTATTTTTTATAATGATTCCATGGAAATTTTATATATATAAAATTACTGTGCTGCCTTGATAGTTTCTTACAAAACAGGGGGGGAAAGGAGATAAAAAGCAACACATTTGAAATATAGTATGTCTGCTGTGTAATTGCTACGACTGGCTATATAATTACTACCGAAACTATTAAAAAATCTAAACACTGGCTAGCCTAAATCTTGTTTATTTGTCTCATGTTATTTATTATTGCATTATCTTTAGTTGCTGGTTTGCTATAAATAGAAGCAGGCATAATGAGCATTAAAAACAAATACACTAAAAATAAAACTTAGGTTGCCATATAATGAAAGCCATGTAGTCTTCATAACTGACAAATCAACACAGTTACTTATTAAGATATTATTCATAGATAAAGAGCAATAGTCTTCAATACAAAATGTTTCGATGTGCTACCTATTTTTACGTATATACCTACCTCATTTTCTAGATTAAAAAGTCACTAACAAAACTAAAATATCAACATTACATTCATTGTCATATCCTAAATTATTCAAATCTAACTGCCACATCCTAAATGATTCAAGATGGTAAAAAAAAAAAAGGAATGCCTTTGCTAAATATTTCCCCTTCAACGATTATTCTCTCAAAATATCAATACAAGTACAATAAATCCTTTCAAAACACTGCAAAACACTTTGCAAATTCAAAACTGAGATTAAGATTACAAAAATCTAAAAAATTAAAAGCTCTGAAGCACAGACAGTATCCTCCAATAGATTAGCAAAACTGTCAAAAAGAAGTCAATTAAACCCATTGGAAATGGCAGTACAATTTCACCAAATTCTACCTAACATATGTAAAATATATACGTAGGGAAGAGTAGTCAATACCTTCGTAAAATATTAAAATTCACTGCTGCAAAGAATGTAGAGAATGTTTTGCACAACAAGTCCTCTACCTTTCAAAAAGCCACAAATTATAACTCATGAAATCACAGTTTTAAGTGTGGCCTCTTAACTCGATTTTCTGAAGTATAAAATCATAGTGCTCAAAGCTCAGTACAGAATAATTTTACATAACAAAATTACAACACTTCAATTTTCCAGAAGACAGAAAAACTGCACAATATAACTCCACTTTTCAAGGGACCACCACCTTCCCACCACTAAATCAAATGTAATGTTAAGACCATAGAAATTAAGCTATGAAACAACTATATAAAGCCTGAGTACTAGTGTTCTTTATTCTGACTCTTCTCCAATGTTTTCAGGCTTCATCAGAGGAGGCAATATTTATATCAATAATTTAGGAGAGGGGGGAAATCCTCAGTTATTTCTTGCTTGCAATGTCCATTTATCATCAAATCCTACTGTTTTCTATTACCACTTCTATCAAATATGCAGCATCCTTTTCATTCCTTCAGTGACAGCCTTATTCCTGGCTCTAGATTTTCTCCCCCACATCTCCACCCCGTATTACTATACCTCATTCTCATGAGACGGCTTCTCCAGATTGTCTTTCATCCCACTGCCAAAGTTATCTTCTTTCTTTCCTTGACATTCAGTCTATGCCACCTACCTACTCCACTTGAGCACTTCAAGGCCACTCCGTTTTATTTTGTTCAAGTGCCACATCTTCATCTACATAATAATTTATAAGGTTTGCTGACTTTCATCTTCCCTTAAAAATGTCAATTTCTCCTTGGATCTAATTAATGTAGTAATCAGGTAAAGTTCTAGTTCATCTAAACATGGGAATCCTTTTATATTTGGGGTGTAAATGCATAGTTAACTTATTGAGACCATTTTAATACATGAAACCATTTAATAATTACATCCACTGATTGCTCAGTTGCTTGCATACCTCATATGACTATAGGGATACCAGACAGGCGCTGCATTTTTCAAAACATTTCACGAAACACGTTATTAATTATGTCATTTGATCAAAGTAAAATAAATCATCAGATAAAACTATTAAGAGAGGCGTGAATAAACAACAATTTTTAAAACCATTATGGTTTAACTGGTGAACAGTTACGGCTTTTCATTTCTATGACGGCTGACACAACTGAGTTTCTATTAAGCTTCATTCTCACTATTCTATTATTTTTCAAAGTGTGCCTAGAATTGTAGGTGCATGTTGAAGGCTGATACAGGGTACACTTTTACATACCATAATCAAATTCTTTAAAAAGCACCAATGTCAACTCGAACAATGCAGAGGTACAACCGAATTTCCACACAAGGTATCAGTCTCAGCACTAAAACAAGAGAACAGCATGCCTTCAGATTTCGGGGTTCCCTGCCCTGTCACTGGTCTAGACCAGAACCTCAAGAGTCCAAGGGCTCTCGTAGAGGAAAATTCAACAAATCACAGTTAATATCTAGCAAGAATAGCAAGGAAAGGCAATTCATTTACTTAAAAGAGAGGAAGAGTGCTGGATATTCCTTTTGCGTAAAACTCATGAGCTAAATTAAGCTTTGCACTCAGTATCTATCCGCAGTAGCGGAGATCGTTCTCCCTAATAATAAAGGCAAGTCTCATTCAATTTAGTCCCTTCTCGAGCACCGTCTCAACTTGTCAGAATGTGACCAAAAAAAAAAAAAAAATCAGAAAAGAAGGGGGAGGGGGAGACACAAGGATTCCCGTCTACATCTCTTTTTCCGAAATCACATCACCGAGTCTTGGATTTCCTTTACTCCAAACTAAACCGTCTGGTTCCAAATATAGTTCTTTAACCCCCGCCTCGCCGCTCAATTACACGCAAACCTTGCCAAGTAAAGAACCACAGCAGAAACCCCTACAAATCGGCGTGCTATTCATCTTGGAAGTCAAGCCCTGCAGCAACTGCCTATCCGCGAGCAGAGGGCTATTAACCAAACCCAGCGCAACGGAATCAGACATGCAGAGCACACACCGCGCCCGCGAGCGAGGGAAGCGCGACCCGGGAAAAGTGAGCCGCTCGCGAGCCTCGAGACCAGCCACCGAGGGGGGAGGGGCACCCCCAAGTGGGAGGGGGCCAGAGGCGCCCAAGTGGGGGAATCCTCCGCGCTCCGCGAGCACGGACAGGATCCCCGGCCGCAGGCTGCACGCAACCCGTCCTTCCGTCGCTAGGAAACGCCAAGGCGGGCACCGAGGGCCCTCTGCACGGAAGGCAGAATGCAGGCACTTTGAGAGGTCCGGGCGCAAGTCGAGACCCCACCTCCGGACGGAGGTGTGGGGTGTCCCAAGGGTGGCTATGGGGATTGCCCGGCCTCCGAGGGGCAAGCAGAGCAGAGTTTTCGCTTAAAGAACAGCCACGATCAAGTCCGACTCGTGTCTGGGGCGAGCGAGGCCAAAACTCGGCAGGGGTCTTGGGGTAGGGGGTAAAGGGCTGGGAGGGCGTGGAGATGGGGTTCCCCCGTCTGCTAGATGAGCATCAGCGGAGGGTGCACCCCAGCAAGCCCTGAGCGGCGTGCTTCGCACGTCGGAGCCGGGATCCCGCCGCCCGCACCGGCAGCACGGAGCCCCGCAGCGCCCGCCGCGCCGGCCCCTTAGTCCCGGGGGGCCAGGGACTTCGGCTGCAAAGGCGCTGGGGCCAGACATCCCACGGGGCCAGGCTAGACCCCGGGGGCACCCGCGGGAACACCCCAACCTCCGGCAGCTTTCAGCAGTTGTAGAACGCACCCCTGGCGCCCCCTCCTCAGCCTGCCCTCCTCCTCCTGGAGGCCGCAGAACTGGGCCACTCCGGAGAGAAGCCAGAAACAAGTCGCGGATAGCGACCGCAGCAGCCCTAAGTCTTCTCCCCCTGGTTACCTGTGAGGACTCCGACGCGGATTTGATGGTCGTGGTTCGTGAGGATCATTCCCTCGGTCGCCATGTTTCCCAGCGCAGTCACCGCACTGACAGAAGCCGGGAGAAGCCGGAGCCCGGAGCGCGCGAGCCGGGAGCGCGCTCGCCTCGGAGAGCGCGAGAGCGAGGGCGCCCAGGGAGCGCGTGGCTAACGGGGAAGGAGGGGTTGAGGCGGCAGGGCGCTTAGCGGCCTGAGTGGGAGAGAAGCCGGGCCCCGGGTGCGCGAGCCGAAGGGGGCGGAGCCTGGGAGCGCGACCCCGAGGCTGGCCGGAGACAGGGCGCTGGGGTAGGGGACGCGGCAGATGCTCCGGGAAAAGCGGGCGGAAGCGTCAGTGTGAGGCCCAAGAGACTAAAGCCGTTCTGCGGAGAGCGCGAGACCCGGAGCGGCTAGATGACAGCAGAGTGTGAGGAGAGGGGAGCACACGCTCGGGAGGTTGCGGGGGCGGCCTCAGGGACAGGGGCGGAGCTACACTCCAAGGCGTGGAACTCGTGGAGAGTAAGGGAGGAGTGATAGCCTGGTTGCGGAGTTTTGGGAGTGGGAAGGAGCGGGCCCTGCCTGAAAAGGCCGAGGGAACCCACCTGGGCGCGCGAGTAGCGCCGGATTGGCTGAGAGAACGCGGTGCGGGTGCGCGCCAGACACGAAAGCGGCTTCAGCCGAGCCCCAGACAGAAGCAATCCCCTGCCGAGCTCGGCGTCTCGTCCGTAGTCAGCCTCCTGGGACTGGCTCTCCCCGCGGGCGGCCGAGCCACTCGGTGCGGGTGGGAGGTGGCTCGGCGTGCGGAGCTCTCCCGAGCGGCCGTCCGTCCCTCTGAAGGCACCGAGCAAGCTGGAGGTGGCTTCGAAAGCCGCGTGGGTGACAGGACGGCGGCGCCTGTCACCGAGTTCGCCGTGGGCGAAGGAGGAGGTATCCCATTCCGCCTTATTTTAGCCTCCTGTTTCCCCAGTCCAGTGGCCCAGCGGGGCTTTGCCGCTTCTCCAGAGCTTTGAGAGTGCCCTTTCCAAGTCATGACTGGCGCAGCGGCCCTCACCAGCCAGTCTTCGCAGTTCGTGCCAGGGCACCGTGAATGGATTTTCTTTTTCTCCCCATCTTCCCCCCACAGTTTTTTGTTTTTTTTTTAGTTTTTCACTGGCAGGGTGTCTCTGTCTGTCTGTCTCTCTCTCTCTGTCTCTCTCTCTGTCTCTCTCTCTTTCTCTTTCTCTCTTTTTTTTTTTTAAGTTAAAATGCCCCCCCCCCCCCCGCCCCTTAAAGACCGTCATGTTGCCTCTTTGAACTGCGGTTCCAATACTGGAAATGGAATCCATACTATGCCAGTTCAGTTTCATTTCAGTATCCGTGGGATATTTTAAATAGCTGTAGATGGTGTTTAATTTCGTGTGCCTTTCCTGTTAATCACCTGTAGCGTTTTAATGTCAGTTTCTTTCTGACCCTTTCAACTTCTGAGTGTGTGTGTTTGTGTGTGTGTACGTAACACCCCACCCCACGAATCCCCTGCTGTCTAGTAAATTCTATCATGGCAAATGTGTTTTCTGAAGCTCTTAAGTCCGTATGAGAGAAGCAGCCCGTCTTTCGCCCTCAAAGCTGGAGAATGGATTCCAACCCTTCCTAGTTGGTTGAAAGGCATGCAAAATAAGACTTGAGGAATAGCCGCCTCAAAAGAGAATCCACGTGGATCCAGGAAAGCTTTGAAGACCTTCATTTACAAAGAACAATCACAATGATTTACCTCCTCCCGTTACTCAGCTCAGCAACAACTCATTGCATCCAATTGAAACTGATTTATAACTGACCCTCCAGTAGATTTTCGGAGGGGTTTCTTCGTGAATCGCAAAGAGGATGACCCATCTTTCCTGAGGAGCAGCTGGTGAATAAGATATGCCTATCTTTGGGTTGGCAGCACAACTCCCTACCCTCAAGGCCACCAGAGCTAAGATCCTTAATTTTTTTTTATGAACAATAAAAAGTTCTTGAGAATATGAAGTTGAAAAACTAAAAATTGTTGTTTGTGAGAATGTAAAATGGCGCAACCACCGTGGAAGAGTTTGGTGGTTCCTCAGAAAATTTAAAAAATTGCCATATAGTCCCGCATATGATCCATCCATTCCTAAATATATAGCAAAAAGACTTAAAAGCAGAAACTCTGACTGTTGTTGTTGTTAACACGATAATGTTCATTGTGCATTATTTGTAGTAATTAGGTGGAAACCATCTAAGTATCAAGTGATGAATAGATAAAATGTGGGTTATACATTGTTGTTGCTGTTATGAACCATCAGCTTGTGACTCATAGCGACCCTATGTACATCAGTCCTAAACTCTGTACTGTGCCAATCTCACGGTCTCTGACATTCCCATCCTGATTACTCCAGTCACCGAATCAATCCACCTCCTAGAGGGCCTTCCCCTCCTGTGCCTGCTTTCCACCCTCACAAGGATGATGTCCAGTGGATTATTCATTTTTTTTTAATGCTCTGACACATGCTACCATATGGGCAAATCTTGGAAACTGAAAAGTGAAATAAATCAGACACTAAATGATAAGAGTTTTTATCTTCCTTATATAAAATATCTAGAATAGACAAATACTGGGAGGTTAAAGTAGATTAATATTTACCTATTTACCACAAACTGGAGATAATAGCGACCAAATCTAGTGTCTTCCGGTTGATCCTGAATCACAGAAACCTGATAGGACGGCCATATCTTTTCTCTCATCAACCTAGGCTGGTGGGTTCAAAGCGCCAAACTTGCCATGTTAGGAGTTGAGTGTTAACTGTTGTGCCAACAGGACTTTTAACAATAATAAAGCCCCCAAACCAAACCTACTGCTGCCAAGTCCATTCCAACTCAGAATTACCCTCTTGGTTTTCCAAGGCTATAAATCTTTATGGGACAAGATTGCCCATCTTTCTCATTCGAACCACTGAACTTTTGATGAGCACCTAACACATACCACCAGAATTTTTTCAATAAATGACTAGACCAACAGAATCCCTTAATAGTAATAGGGATGATTAGAAGGGAAAAAAGAGCATTACTTGATTTAAATAAAATTCAGAACTATGAATCCAGATTGGGAAAGTTCTGGTGCCCTAATCCAGAGGAAATTTCACTGCCAACTGAAAGACTACACTTCTCTGGAAGTTCAAATGCACTTGAGGATTCTTAGGAGAAAGATGGACAGTATCCTGTACAATGTACAGCCTCAGAAACCTTATAGAGGATCACTGTAAATCAGAACTGACTAGACAACAATGAGATTGTTTTCATACATTCTTATTTCTCCAGTTTTTGGAAAGTGATATTGATGAAGTTCATGAAATGTTAATTGGAAAAGATTAATATAAACTAAAACTAGAGTATGTACATGTGTTACATTTTGCTGAATGTTAGCAATAAAATTTCTGGTAAAGATAAGATTAAACTAGACAAGTATAATACATACTTGTCTTCCAACAATTTTCTTAAGTGTGTTTATCTTGAGTTCAGCAAGCTTTCAAAAAAAAATACATCAAGGAAAAATTCAGTGACATTATTTAGTTTCAATTTCTCTTCTTTGTGGTTAGTGAATAAATATTTCAGTATATGCATATTTGTTTCCTACTGCTACAGTACGACATTTCTTCAAAATTCATCTTGGAAAGAATTATTATATCAAAGAAAATATTCTGGAAAGTAGGAGGAGAGCACTATTTTCCATTATTGACAAATGTCTTGGAAACATATTGCAGGAGATGGGGAAGACCAGAAGTAAAAAATTTAAACCTATCTGAAGTATTACAAGTGCCTAAGGATTTAGTCTCTCTAATTTTTAAGATTCTTTTTATTATTTTTTTTGTACCATCAAATCAGATCTAACTGATACAGGAGGAGATTGCCCCTCCTTCCCCAGCAGAGCATCTGGTAGATTCAAACCACATAACTCTGAGATTACAGTGCAGCTTCTTGCCAGTAGGCCACAGGAGCTCCCTTAGTCTCTCCATTTTTAAGGTTTTGATAGTGAAAACTACATTAACCATTGGCGGCAGCATCAAAGACAGGTACATGCTAAACATTCATAATTTTCATTATAAAGATGGAATTTTATCAATAGAAATATCATGTATTTACCCTTATCCTTCCTTAGTATTCCTTGTAGTTAATCTCAACTTCAGGATCACTGTTGCTTTTGTGATTTGCTTTCTAGTCATAGTAATCTATGTACAGCATATCAAAACATTGTATGGTTTTACACCATCCTTTAAATCATTGATATGTTTGAAGCGTTGTAAGTATTAATCCATCTCAGAGAGTTTTCCAATGACAGTGTACTTAGCTTATTGACTTTTTGTGGGATCAGACTCTACTCATTACACTAGATGCAGGCAAGAATGAATTTGGGAATGAATGATTCTTCTTCTAGGGCCATTCCACTCTTGCCATTTAGAAATGCTTTTTCCAAATTGGATAATGAACAAAATTACAACTGGGTGAATGCTTTCACCAAACATTGTGAATATATTAAGTCCTACTTTTCTTTGTTTAAATAAAAATGAATACTAGATTGATTTTGACTTTTCCTCCCTCCTCTAAAAGGAAACTAGATTGTAATCAAGATAAATATTGACTGAATCAGGCACTGACAGATTACATTATTTTTTTGCATTTCATGAAAATGTAGAAATGTAGCCTATCTGAAAAGAGGGCTCAACATGTTCTTTAAAAGTTATTACAAAAAAAAATTGTAAATTAGTCACATTCAGAAAAAAAAAATACAAGTCTCTCCATAAGTTTGTGAATAGTGCAGAGGGTTAATGCAGTGCTCTGCTGTTAACCAAAGGTTGGAGGCTGGAGTTATTCCAAACCAGGAATGCCTGCTGATGCACTTACAAATAACCAGCCACTGAAAACATTACAAAACAATCTTAGTCTTGACAAACATGGGGTCACCATGATTCAGAATTGATTTAATGGCAGCTGTGATTGGAATTGTGTGTTGTATTTTAAGACAGACTACTGACTTTTGAGGGGGGAAAAAAATTTACCCTTGATGGTAGTGATGGTGGTTGTTAGGTGCCACTGAGTCTAATATGACCCACAGCGACCCTATGAACAACAGATCTGAACCCTGTCCTGTGCCTTCCTCACATACCAGAGCCCATTTTACCCACATATTAAAATTACACTCACAGCCCATTGCTGCAGTCACTGTCAATCCACTGTGTGCCCCTCCTTCACCAACCTTCTACCTTTCTGAGCATCATGCCCCCTCCAAGAAATATCCCCTCCTAGCAACGTGCCCAAAGTATATGAGATGAAGCTTTACCATCTTTGCCTCCAGAGAGCACTCTGGCTGCACTTTCTCTAAGACATATTTGTTTATTGTTTGGCAATCCATTGGATGTCCAACACCAGAGCTCAAAATCATCAGTTCTTCTGCCATCCTTATTGTTCAGCCCTCAGAAACATAGCAGGTGATTAGAAAGACCATGGCCTGAATCAGATGCACCTTAGTTCTCAAACTGATAGCATTACTCCTCAATAATTTGGAGAGATCTCAAACTGGAAACTCCCAGTGCAATATAGCTCCTATCTCCTGATCACTGGTACCAAGGGTGTTGATTCTGGATCCAAATAAGATGAAGTTTTTGGCCATTTTGCTCTTTTCTCCATTTATCGTGATGTTGTCCAGTGATAAAAATCTTTGTTTTCTTGACACAGAGAAGCAGTCCATATTGAAGGCTGTATACTTTGAATTTCTGCAACAAATGCTTCACTTTCAGCAAACAAGTTACTGTCATAACACAGGTTATTTATGAGTCTTCCTCTGATCTTGATGCCACAATCTTTTCATAGAGTCCAAATTCTCAAATAATTTGCTTGGTTTACAGATT